ATGGTTTGGGTGGTGATGTCAACTTGGCAGCAAAGTGTGGTGCAACAAAAGAATGAGTTGACCCAGAGTCAATAAGGTCATGAGCTAAAAGACCATAGATAGAAAGTGTACTTGACACAACATTTTCGGTAACCTCCGGTTTTCCAGGTACCAAGGCGAAAGCCCGACCTTGGCGGTTTTGGTCCTTCTTTTCTCCTCCAGGTCCTGCGGGTCTCCTGACTGGGCCAGAGGGGCTGGCTGTAGGATTAACCATCTTTGGACAATCCCTTAGCAAGTGGCCAAACTGTCCGCATCTAAAACACGCTCCCGTGTCTCGATGGCATTGTCCCCAATGAATCCTCCCACAAGTGGGGCAAGTTGGAATAGTGCCACCTCGGGGGTTGGTAGGACCGTGGTGGCCTGAGCTGGTTGTGCCCATGTTCACCTTTTTATAAGGTGCAACACCGGGTCTTCTGTTATCTCTTTCCCAGAACCGCTTCTTGTAGCTTGGTTCTCCAGAACGTGAGGCCTTAATTCCCTTTTCTGCTATGTACGCTCGGTCTACCACTTCTGCATAGGTTGGCAATTTCAAGACTTCAAGCCAATCTTTAATTCCAGCATCCAATCCTGCTTCGAATTTCCTTGCTTTTTGAGTTTCGGTGGGGATGACGTATGTTGCAAACTGAGCAAGTTGTGTGAACTTGCTCTCATATTCGGCCACTGTCATGGTTCCTTGCTTCAGATGTATGAATTCAGATGCCTTCTGTTCCCGCAATGAATCTGGAAAGTATTTTTCATAGAATACTTTCAAGAATCTTGCCCAAGTCGTAATCTCCTCTTTGGCCAGAGCGAGAAGCCACCATTCTTGTGCATTGTCTTTGAAAGTGAAAGTGGCGAAAGTTACCTTTTGCCTCTCGGTGCAAGGTAGGGCACGAAAAATCTTTTCCATGTCTTTAACCCAGGCGTCCGCTACCATTGGGTCTGGGCCGCCGGTAAATGTGGTGGGTTTCAGATCCTGGAACTGTTTTATGGTAACCGGCCCTTCTTGTCGTCCCGGCGTCCCATTGTTGATGTTAGCTTGCAAGGATTGTAGAAAACTAGCAACCGCTCTTTCCATTACTCTTTCCATCGATTCCGTACTGCTAACTGATGACTCACTTCCATTACCATTAGCCATTCTACAAGTAATAGACGAGGTATTATATTTTCAACGCATCATAGATATATATGTAACACAACATGTAGTACGCTTTATATTTATATAAACTGCCAACATTACACACTTTTATTTATTTATTTTACAATTCCTATTACATTAGTCAGAATACGTTGGTGTCCCATCCCTGTGGTAAACAAAAGCAAAAGTCAACAAAAAGGGGATTAGAACATATCAAGATCAGCATACAAAAGATTTTCTACTATCCAGATCTAGAGTGGTGGGTCAGATGGGCCGAAAAACCAGGAGAAATAGTGCTGCATAAAAAGCTCAAACTCCCACCCCAACTGGACTACACCAAAACACATCCATGCTACCTGGACCGTGAAAATGGGGATAGACCGTATATAACCCACAAATACTCGGTCGACAATCCAAACAAGTGTCTCAACATATGAAAGGTCATTTTCGAAGTCAACACTTTGTATATTAATGATCTCTAGTGGATTTGGGACTGTGGTGAAAATGTAATCCTCGGGGTACACGTTCCCCCTTCTGGCTGCAAACTCTGGGGGTAGGGGACCTATAATATAATGTGGGCGGTCATGACCCGGGGTGACGCCAAGGACGCGAGATGGTCCGAGAAAACGTCTACGTGTATGGGCAAGGCTGTGCCTCCATAACAAATGTGGGTCGTCAGTAGGGTCAACCTGGATATAAATTGGCCGACCCATCAACCGGCCACGACCTGGGTGCAATTCCCTGACTATCTCCTCAGAATTTCCCCAACCTTCAGGTGAGGCGGGGGCAGGGGCAGGGTGTTCAGCTAAGATTTCATCTAAGTTGATGGCCTGGAGGTCATTCCAAAAAGCATCGTCAAGGTAAATCTCTGACATCCAACAACACCAGAATAACATGAGATTTTACACAGGGAAAATTAACGTCACATGTAAATATTTATTATTATTATTATTTTATTTCGATTTTACCATATATATATATATATATATATTGGTTTTTAGCTATATGGTTTTAGTTATGGATTTATTTATAACTCTTTTTTTTTTTTTTGAACCATTGCTCTGATACCACCTTTGTCACGACCCAACCCCAGGGGCTTAGAGTTGGAATCGTGACTTACTAACTTATTCTTATTCGAAGCAAATTAAGTTGCGCAAGCGAAAATAAAAATAATTAAACAGAAATTTTACTACATTTTACTATTTAAAAAAAGAAATACATTTCTAGGGCTTTCGTTATTTTCTTATTCAGTGACCAGCCCCGAATAGAGACAAAATGAAGCAAAAATATTTTTTAAAAAAAAAGAGAAAGGTAAAATAGTGATTCATCATCAGTCCATATGCAGGTTCCATTTTGTAGGGTTATGGATTTCCCTTACATCTCATCACCTGAAAGGGTAACAGCTATAAGCACACAGCAGAGTGAGAAATATTATGCCAAGAATGTAGAGAATACAAAATATCCATGGATAATTAATTAGGCTAAAACATTTGCAAAATTAAAATTAAAATGACAATTTATTTAAAGTGGCAGAATACAGAAATCATGTAAATAATAATCATAACCACGGTATAAAACAGAACAGAACAGAGATCACAGAAGTGACAGTCAGAACAGAGGTCAATGGATCCATGACAAACAGAGGACCACAAAGTGGTCAAATAGAGGCCAGTGGTTATTTAAGTCCCCCAAGGCGTAGGACTCCTGTGGTGGTACTTACAAAACATAATTGTTTATAAGGTTATAGTCAAATATATACTAAAATTTAAACTAACATATCCATCGGTTTCCTTTTACGTAAATGGAGTTTAGAAAGTAACCCACGTAACTGAAATATTTATAAACATAACTTTTATTTATATAACTTAATAAATGTAACTTGAAATAAATAAGCTATGATAACTCAAAACATTTGTAAAACATATAATGGTAAATCAAGGTATAACATATCTCACCTTAATTATAACCCTGAGCCTTACTTTTTTTTTAAAAAAACTCTCCTAGTATGAGTTTCTTACCCCCAACTGACGAGTCTCTCTCTCTCTCTCGGTTTTTTTCTTTCTTTCTTTACTTCCTTTCCTTCACATACAGCACTACCACCCCTATTTATACACAATATAAGTGATGACTCAACACCCTAAGCTCCAGGTACTCACTCCCTCTATCCGAGTCTAGTGTCTAGGTGGCTTCTCCGTTTCTCCTTCGGCAGATTTGTAATCTAACTCATTAATGGTCCTTGATCTATTTGGATAATATGGCAAGATTGTATTTGATAGCCACTGATTTGTTTTTATCTACACAACTAATATATCTTAACTAAAATTAGTATTTAATAATAAAATTGATATTTAATTTATCTTAATAAATTTCTGTGTCATATATTTAATAGCCATAATGATAAATTAATTTACTTAGCACATATAACTTATTCATTTTATTATTGCCATCATTATTCTTCTCATTCCATATATTATTGTTATTATTATTTATTTATTTACTATCCTTAACTTTAATTTGACCCAACTAGTATTAGAATTTCATGTTTCTGGTCTTTTGGCCCTAAATAAAAATCCCTAATTAATCCCATAGAACCCCGTGCTAAATTAGATTCTGTATTTATTAGTGATTATTTAATAATATATATCGCATATACCCATAATTATATAACTATAAACATTTATGTGGTATTTAATTAAACATTCAGGGTGTCACACAATGATAATGTGTTATCAAAAGCTGCATTGGCCCAACGTGCACGGCGAGAACGTGAAAAAAATCAAAAGCCATGTTCTGCATACCAATTGGGACAATGCCTGCGATGAGAACGAGAAAGAGAAAGATCGAAGGAATGTATTAACCCAAGACAACCTTCTTTAACACCAAATTGGTAAAAAGAAAAAGAATTTTTTACCCAAGACAATCTTGAATTTTTTACTCTTACTATTACCACTTTATTATATAGATTTTAATTTGTTCACAATCTATTTCTGTAGGCCTCCTCCTACAACTCCATGTAGAAATGTTGGTGTGGTCATCCGTGATGAGCACGACCTTAATGATATCCGTGTTCGTGTGGTAAGTACAAAATCAAGTCAAACATTATATGTATTTTATTTATATAAGATTTTTTTAATCTTTTCAATATTTTATTTATATTTGTTAGGCAAAAGATAAAGAAAATGTCAACCCAATGTCTAAAGGAAAAGAAAAGATGGCTCCTTCCGGCAAGAGAATGACAAATGCATGTCATGTGGTATATATTCTTTTTTTAAAATATGATGCAAAACTAATCAAAATTTTGAATAATTAAAAGATATGAGTGTATAGAAATAAAGAAAAAATATATAAAGAAAGGAGAAACTAAATAAGATAGGTTTTTAATTCTTATTTAATATATAAAATAGAAAACAAAGAAAGGGAAAGGGAAAGGGAAAGGGAAAGGGGAGAAATAAGAAGATAGAAAGGGAAGAAATAAGAAAAAAATAAATAAAGATAACACTATTAAAGGTATAAAACAAATAAAATAGAAAACAAAATTAAGAGAAAGGGAAGAAATAAGAAGATAGTTTCATTTTAAGCACAAAATATTCACATATTTTGCTTCAATGATAAAATATTTTCTTTTTACGCCCAAAATGATAATGTAATATCAAAAGCTGCATTGGCCCAACGGGCACGGCGAGAGCGTGGAAAAATTGAATTTCAATGCTTGCAACGAGAGCAAGAGGGATTAGAAGAATGTGTTCAAATAAGACAACATTCTTTAACACCAATTCGTCGCGATCGCACTCACTTGGAGTGGGAAACAATAACTGAAGATTCTCAGTCGGCACAAAAACGAACAATGGTTACCTATCATTCTACATGTTCGCTTTCTATGCCAAGCACATCTTCAAATTCACAAAGGAATCGGTAAGCTACTGTGTCTAATCTTGAAATACATACTTTTACTCATACCGTTTTGTTTTATAGAATTTTATTTATACACAAATATTTGTAGGTCTACTCTTATAAATCGATTTGTATGTATTGATGATGAATTAGAAGATCTGCCTACGAGTATATCAATTGGCACCCGGGCACACAAAGATTCTTGCCGCCATTATCTTGGCAAGATGGATGTATTATGTCCTTATTGTTCAGCCTTACATTGGATAGATGAAAATTTGACAAAATCATCTATAAAGCGTCCCTTATTCGGAACTTGCTGTTTGGAAGGGATAATTAGGCTACCTTTACTTATTACACCCCCTCCACCACTTCAGGCATTGTATGATGGGAATAATGATCAATCAAAATCCTTTCGAAGTTATACTCGAGTGTACAATGCAGCCAATGCTTTTACGAGTCTTGGTGCTACATTGGATCCTAGAGTACTCATTGGAAGGGGCCCTACATCATTCACAATTCATGGGGAATTCCGACATCGAACAGGATCACTACAACCACAACCAGGGCAGGATGCGAGTTATGCTCAGCTGTATATTTATGACCCTTATTCAGCTTTAGAAATTCGTAATCGTAGAAATCCTAACTTGAGAATGGATGTTCTCAAAACTATTCAGGATAGTTTGTTGCAAGTTAATGCATTTGTAGATAAATATCGCCAGGCTCATGCCATTTTACATCAATTAGACTCGGCAGGACACAATCTACCTGCTCATCTTCATTACAGTTCAACAACTGATCGACGTCGGTATAACCTACCAACTACAGATGAGATTGCAATTGTAATACCAGGTGATGGAACAGAGGTAAACGGGATGAGAGATATTATTTTACATTTCCGAGGAAATAATGAGTTGATGCAAATTAATGAATGTCACCCAGCATACTTGCCATTACATTATGTTCTATTATTTTCGTATGGTGAGCTTGGATGGGAACCTAAGTTGAAATTGTGGAATGTTCAGTATGATCGACCTTCAACTAATCGACTTACTCAAATGAATTTTTATAGTTATCGTTTGTTTGAACGACCCACAGAGTATTCAACAATTTTGAGAGGTGGGAAACTATTTCAAGAGTTTTTGGTAGATGCTTGGGCTGCAACTGAGCAAAATCGATTGACATACTACAAGCTTAATCAAGGGAAACTTCGGGCTGAGCTTTACCAAGAGTTGTCAGATATGGATCCAGATTATGTACGACTTGGACAAATTGGTCAAAGGTTTGTTTTGCCATCTTCATTTATTGGTAGTCCTAGACATATGTTTGAAATCTTTCAAGATTCAATGGCTATCACACGATACAACCAACACCCAGATATTTTTCTTACCATGATTGCAAATCCCAATTGGCCAGAAATTACTTCAGCATTATTACCATATCAAAAACCTATTGATCGTCCTGATTTAATTGCCCGTGTTTTTGAGTTGAAGAGAAAATGTTTGATGGAGGAGATAGAAACAAATAAAGTATTTGGAAATAAAGTTGCACATGTTTTTACAATTGAATTTCAAAAGCGAGGCCTCCCTCATATGCATGCACTTTTATTTCTCAAGGGTCCAGACAAAATTCGGACATGTGCTCAAGTAGACAAATTGGTTTGTGCAGAATTTCTAGACCCAAAAGATGATCCTATGCTTTTTGAAACTATTTAATGTTGTACGGTACATAGACCATGTGGTGCTCGAAATCCGCAAGCACCATGTATGGAAAATGGTAGATGCACTAAGAGATACCCTCGAGCTTTCACAGAAACAACAACTATGGATCAAGATGGATACCCTATCTATCGTCGTCGCAATAATGGCCAAGTACATACTGTGAGAGGGCAAGAAGTTGATAACAGGGATGTCGTACCATACAATGCATATCTTTCAAAACTTTTCAACTGTCATATAAATGTGGAAGTTTGTGCCAGAATGAGATGTGTCAAGTATATACATAAGTACATTTATAAGGGTTATGATCGTGCAACGATGGTTTTAGGAATGATAAATGAGATTCAACAATATCTCGATGCAAGGTATATTGGACCTCCAGAAGCTGCTTGGCGAATATTTGCTCATCCTTTGTATGCAGAGATGCCAACAATTGTACGATTGGCACTTCATTTACCTGGAATGCATCGTGTTATTTTTAACCCAGAAGAGTCATTACAAACTATTCAATCTAGAGCTGGTCAACAAATGTCAACTCTTACTGGCTTCTTTGCATATTGTGCTGCCAGTGAAGATGAATGTCCATTCACTTATCAAGAATTTCCACAGCATTTTGTTTGGCTCAAGTCAGAAAAGAGATGGAAATCAAGAGAAAGGAGATATGCAATTGGTAGAATGTACTTTGCTAGCCCTAATTGTGGTGAAATATTTTATCTACGTTTGTTACTAACCGTTGTCAAAGGACCAAAGTCGTTTCAGTCTTTACGCACAGTCGATGATGTTGTGCATGATACATTTAAATTAGCATGTATTGCAAGGGGGCTTTTAAAAGATGATAAAGAATGGATACAATGCTTGAAAGAGGCTGCAGTCATAAAAACTGGATATCAATTGAGGAGATTGTTTAGTATTATTCTTACCCAGTGCTCTCCACTAAATCCATGTGCATTATGGAATCAATTTTCAACGCATATATGTGATGATCTTCCACATAAGATTTGTACATTGTTTGTCATTTCTAAACCAACTGAGGCTCAAATTGAAGATTATGGTCTCCATCTTTTGAATCAAATGCTTCATGAATCAGGCAAAAGTTTAATTGACTTCCCACCCATGCCACAACCTACTGCAAATTGGAGTGTAGTAGTTGGTAATCGATTGATAGTTGAACATCAACAACTGCAGAGTGAGGCACAACATGCAGATCCATAAATTACTATTGATTGTCTCAATAATGGACAGCGGAATGCTTATAATACAATCACTTCTTCAGTTTTTCAAAATAAAGGAACTGTTTTCTTTCTGAATGGGGGTGCAGGAACAGGGAAAACATTTCTATACAATACGATTGCATTAAAATGTCGTAGCCTTGGGCATATCGTTGTTACTGTGGCTTCGTCTGGAATTGCATCACTGTTACTGGTAAGAGGTCGCACTGCACATTCAACATTTTCCATTCCGTTAGATGTCTTGGAAAATTCACTCTGTGGGTTTAGCAAACAATCATTACAAGCTGAGTTATTTAGAGAAACAAAACTCATAATTTGGGATGAAGTTCCTATGCAACATAGACATTGTGTTGAGGCCGTTGATCGTACATTTAGGGACATTTGTGATAGTGAAAAGCCATTTGGGGGTATTACTGTTGTTCTTGGAGGAGACTTTCGACAAATCTTACCAGTTATACCCAAAGGATTTCGTGAGCAAATTGTGAATGCATCATTAAGACACTCTGTTCTATGGAAGCATATATATATCTTGACTTTGGATTTGAATATGCGCTTGAATCATGAAGGCCATGAAAATGCTAATTTTGCAAATTTCTTGATGGAGGTAACACTACTTTAACCTAAAATTGAAGAACCTAAAGCTTACAACCATTATTTATAGTAAAGGTAATTCTTAAAGAACAAGAAACTAAAAAAATAAAAAATAAAATCAAAACTAATAAAGTAGGAAAATTGCATCATATCAAATTAGGAAATTGAATAACTAAATAATTCTATAATATTTTATACTAAATTAAAAAATTCGTAATCAACTATTAATTTCAAAATAATAAAATAAAAATATATAGCATATTTTTTTCAATTTGGTCTGCATCACTGATGAATGCATTGCAAAGCATGGAAAAGAGATTGTTTGGGTTGGTTCTCAGCAATTGGGGATGGCACTGGAGCAGGGGGACCTGTTTGCAAATGCAGACCAAAGGGTTGAAATTGTCCCCAGCATTGACAAAAGATTTCTCCTCTAAAATAGGATTTCTAGGGTTTGGTTATATTATTGCTATTGTTTCATGAGTCAAATGTCATTGTTTATCAATTTAGATTAAACAAGCAATTGTTATGTTTGAAATGAAGTGATGCCTACATTCATGGTGGCGTATATTCTAAAGCCAGGAATTGGATTTGAATTGCACAATTTGCATTTCACTTCCACTTCTTTTCATTTTTATTTTATTTTATTCTCTTTCTCTTCTTTTCTTTTTACCCCCTAAACCCTACCCGTCACAGTCCATCTCCGGTCGATTTCTCGTCGCCGGCGACCACCAGTCTCATCGCCAGGCCGCTGTCACTTCTCAGCCCTGTTATCGACTTTACAGCCATCGTGTTGCCCTCTCACTCTCCTTGGGTATGTTCCTTCATTTGGCATTGATGAGGGTAGGCTACTTTACAAAATTTTATAGAAACTCTGTTATTGTTGCTACTAGAAGCCCTACTATTTCATGCTTCAAATTCAATTTTATGAATTGGGGTGGGGTTATTTCCAGCTAATGTTAGTTTGTGCTTTGAATATATGTGGGAATTGCCCCTGTGCTTGATATCACTTGGCTTTGTGTGTTCATTTTCACATGATCTCTTCTAAGCAATTCTCATTTTTGTTGGTGTGTGCTTGAACTTGATATTGGTTGCCCATGACAGTGCACTTTTAACTCTCTATTCTTGGCATTAATCTACCTTCTCACTTGATGTTGACACCACTAATTTGTTAGGTGCAGCTGCAATAATGACCGGAGGGACCAACAAGAAACGGGCTAGGGATGCTATCTCTTCTACCTGAACCAAGAAGCCTAATCAAATGCGGACAGGGTATAAAAAACAACCCAAGAATGCATGGAAAACCAAGGGCTTAGCTCTTCCAACTGTTTTTGCAATTGACGAATCCTTTCGCCATAATGAAGACACCAAATGGGCAGTGGAGGAACTAGAAAGGCGTGAGTTGGCGGGGTTGTTTGGGCCTTTTTTGAAGGTGTACCCACGCTTGGTTCGCCTTTTTTTATTAAAGTATGCACAAGCAGTATAGGTTCCCCAACGTTTTGTACACTGTTCTTGATGGGGTCTGTGTTCAGGTTACCAGCACCGACATTCAACAGGCCCTTGATTGTGAAGACTCGTGTCCATTGGAAGATGGCCCCTACCTGGATCTACATGGTGAACTCTCCCCTGAGGCAATAGTCAATGATTTGTGCAAGGGTCACTTCGGTTCTGACTGCCAGTCCACCTGTCATGTGCACCTTCCTCTGCAGATGTGATTGATTGACTCAATTTTTCATTTTAATGTGTGTTTGAGTGGCCATAAGGATGAGCGTCGGGGGCATTGAAAGATCGAGAAAGGGTATTGGGTGTCCATGCCTGACTTAATTTGGGCCGAGATGGACAAGCTTCATAAGGGACTTGTGGTTACTCAGACACAGAAGAGTGAGAGTTGGGTGCTTCCTTTTCCGAGTTTGATTACTAAACTGTTGCTAGATCAGGGTTTCCCGATAGATATGGATGAGATTGCTGTTAACGAGCGTGTTGGCATGTATGGTAAGTCTTATTGGACTGCTAGTGTTCAGTCTATGCTTCCAACTCGGACAAATCGACAGCCTGCCCCTCCTCCTGTGCCTATTCCAGTGGAACCTGCCCCTGCACCTTTTCAGATGACCTCCGAGCAGTATGAGCAACTGTGTCAGGAAGTTCGTGGTTTATGGCAGGACATCATTGCTTACCGTACTCAAGTCTCAACAAGACTTTTTGGAGTTCAGATCCCAGTATCAGCAGGATATGTTAGATCTCCGGTCTCTTTTGCAGGCTATTCTTGATGCCCAGCAACGTCCTCCTAGGGTGTGAGTGTTGTGTGCGAGTGGCATGGTCTGAATCTCATAGTCTGTTGTTGTTCTTAAGACTTGCAGCTAACTTTTGGATGGATAGTATGACTTTCTGGTTTTATATAAGCAAAATTGTTATAAGTTCTTTAAGAAGAAAAATATTTCAATATATTTTTTCAATATCTTTATCAAAAAATGACACAAACTTTATAAACTTCAACATAATACGTATAAATTATAACTGCATTTTAATCTTAAAATTATTTACACCGTGCCTTTAGGCACGGACATACGCTAGTAGTATAATATAATATATGCATGTATATATATGTATATATATTTATTCAACGTGTCCTGTTATGTGTCTGCCTCCTAATTGTTAGAAAAATGCCAGCTGTATTTGTATTTGGGTAGGTGTCAGGCGTAGGTTTGTGTAATTCATCTAATTGTCCAAAGACACCAGTGTATGGCTAAATTTCATAAATCTTAAATAATTTGTGTATCGGTTAAGGGTAAAATGGTGATTACAAACTAACATAAACATTTTATGCATGAAATGAGAGTCTTATGCAAGTAATATAATATAACCCAACTATTTAGGCATACTTGTTGGGCAGTTGTTGAGCCAAGGAATTAAATAAATAAATAAAGGATCTAGCCGGTGAACCCTCAACTGGATTCCAGGCCCTCTCTCCATCTCCATCGGTCGATCCCCCTTTTTCACTGTCACTCTCCTTTGGTAAGTCTTGATGGTTGCCTTTCTCTTTGATGCTCCAATTTTATGAATAGGATTGGTGGTTTGTTGTTCACTTGTTGTTGGGTTTTACTCTCTGCCCTCTATATGATGCCGAGTTGAGTGAGTTGAAATTTTTGTGTGGTGTTTGATTGGTTCTCCATGGATATGGTTTTGGGGTGGGGTTATTTCCAGCTACTGTTAGTTTGTGCTTTGAATATCTGTGGGAATTGCCACTGTGCTTGATATCACTTGGCTTTGTGTGTTCATTTTCACATGATCTCTTCTAAGCAATTCTCATTTTTGTTGGTGTGTGCTTGAACTTGATATTGGTTGCCCATGACAGTGCACTTTTAACTCTCTATTCTTGGCATTAATCTACCTTCTCACTTGATGTTGACACCACTAATTTGTTAGGTGCAGCTGCAATAATGACCGGAGGGACCAACAAGAAACGGGCTAGGGATGCTATCTGACTTGCATTGTCGGAGATAGTGAATTGTTCAATTGCTTAACTGTGTTCATGAATGAGAATTGTGTTTGAACTCAATTGATGTGTGTATTTGTTGTGTGGGAGTTGGGGCGTTGCTTGAATGTAGAGTCTTCATCGAATATATATTTTGTGGTGAGAGACTAACATGGATGAATTTTGTGTGTAAATACGTTGCAAATCCTCACGAGACTATAGCTCGGCCACTAGGAATAACCTTGTAGTTTAAAGACTTGTTACACGTGCTAATTGTAGTTATGAGTCCGACGAAGTGGCCTAAGATAGTTTGTTTGTTTGTTATTTTTTTTTTCTTTTCTTTTTACTTTGCTCGAGGACTTGCATTTGCTAAGTCTCAAGTCATTGTTACTTGGCTTAATTATTCCACTTATATTTTTTTTTTAGTTGTTTTTTTTTTTTTTTTTTTGTAGTTGAACTCTTGTGGTGGGATAGTTCTTTAAATGGAGTTTTTCAGGAGTTTGTGGAGCCTTGATGATAGAGTGCCAATTGGGTTACAAGAACAAGAAGGAAAATTAAGGTTCAGCACTTTTCTGCCTGGGCGAGGGGAGCAGAAACAAAATTAGCTCTCAGCATTTTTCTACCCGAGTGAGTCTGGCAACAATCTACTCACTCACGACTTTTTGTTAATTTGGCATTTATTTTTCCCATTAAGACCTAATTAGGGGAGGACTATGTAAGTCTCTTTTAAAGACTTAGAGAGGGTTCCACTTATTGAAGAAAACGGCTCGATGAGTGGCTAGGCATTCCACTTAGGTTTAGATGAAAACCTAGCCAAGTTGCATTGACTATTTATTTAGTTTTGGGATTTGTTTGTTGGTACAAATTGTATAACTTTGACACAATATTTTTATCAGAATGGATAATGCCATGAATGAGAAGAATATTTTGGATGGGTTTATATATTCCCTGTCAAATGAGCTATGTCTGAATTTTTATTTTTTTGGGGTTAAATACCATCATAAATAATTTCAATCATTAAATAATTTTCATTTTGTGGAAACATAATTACCACATTTAAGTTTATGGCCATTTGGAGATGTAGAGAATGTAATGGTCCATTATAGACTAAATGCACTAAATGCATGTGAGAAGTGCTCGTGCATTGATGAGTGGGCTGTGAAATATAGCTAGGTTCCCTTCTAATACATATTCCAACTCCTCTGATCTGTTCCCTTCTAATACATAGTCCATTATGACTAGCGAGATTTGAACCCATGAAACTACCATTGATTCTCATAAACTAACCTACCTTATAGAGAGACTTGATACGAGTGGCGCTCTATGATTTTGTAACAGCCAAATCATTAAATGTATAGATATGCTGTGCACCTTGTAAGGGGAGGATAGAGAAACAAACTTACCTCATCCTAACTCTGTTTCTTTCCCTTCTTCCCTTTCTCTCTCTACTACATTAAATAGTATATTAAAACTTTTTCTCAAATATCGTTTCATTGAATTTTCAGAATCTATTTCTTGAAAACAAACATCCCAATGAAGATAGAAAACAAAGAAGTGTTTCAATCCAAGTTGTACACATGGTTCTAAATAACCATTATACGTATCAGCGTCAGTGATACTTATTTAAACCTGAGTGTACAATATTTAAGGTTTTCCTGTTCTTTTTCATTTGTCACCTTATCATTCAAAATGCCTACCTATAGATACTGTCAACCATTTTGCTTTTTAGTTTTATTTTGTTAAAAAACAACGTAAGTCCAAAACCTAACATTTTCATAATACTTCTGCTAGCAATGTTTTAAACTAACTTCTCATTATGAAAACTTGCATCCACACCTACATTGAGTGTTCTCATCTCACATTAGAGAGACATGACTTTTTTTTACATTTCTCATGTTGTAGTGCTTGTGGTTCTAGCGGGCTTGCTGACTAATTTCTATCCGATGTTGTGTGATGCAGATCCAACAGATGGATTCACAAATATTCCATTAACAGAATCGAACTTCAAACTGCAGAAACCATATGACATGTCACTTGAGCAGCGCTACAGCTTCCAAAATGGAGTTCACTGCTTGTGGCTCTATGCCGATGACAAGCCACCTACCCAGCTCCGCACTGAGATTCGCATACTAGTACTCTCTCTCCACTTAAATTTTGTTTATATATATGGAAAATTCTATGGTATATTTAATTGTGTACTTATTTTCTATATTTCATTATGGGTAATTACATGGATAATGGCCTATATAATTTCAATCAATTCGATTTTGTTCATTAATATTTTATTTTGTGTCAATATGATTCATTTGATAGCAAAAGGTTTTGTTTTTTTGTTGGATTAATCACATTTTTAGTCCTCAAAATATAAATCTCATGTCATTTTGGTCTTCAATATTTAAATTGTGTCATTCTGGTCTTATTTAGTAGGGACTAGATTGACACATTTTAAACATTGCGGACAAAATTGAAACACTTTTATATATTAAGAACCAAATTGATACAACTTAAAATTAGAGACTAAAATGACACAACTCGTAATTTAGGAACCATACTAAAAGCACGCATGGCCTATTTTCAAGAATAAAATTGTAAATTCAGTGCCCGGCTCAGCGCGTTTGCTCACTCAACTAAAACCCAACTCCTCTCTTCTTCCCATGGCTAGCCACTCTCGGTCCTTCCCTCCCATCGTTAGATCACCCCCAATCCACCCTCTTAATTTATATTTCCTCCTAAGAAGTGAAAGCCAAAAGATTGAAATGGAATTCAAATCTAGGAGAAACCCAAATTCCTCTGCCTGCATGGCTTTAGGATTATGAGGATGGATGACAGTGATGAATTCACCATTTTGCTCAAACAAATATATCACATGAGCCGTAATGCCTATTATCCTTAAATTGACACATTAAAAATTCAAGAAAAATTAAACTAATTGAAACTATAGGGTCTAAATCAATACAAGAAGCAAAGCATAGACACTACTAACATAATTTTTCCTTTCATTTATCTTTCTTTACTAATATTGCATGCATGAATTTTTGTTTCTCAATATGGGTTGAGTCTTGATCCCAATCTTATTGAGGGCATAGTAGTCACCCTATGTGTGACCATAGGAGCCCTTACCCATTAGAAAGCCGAACAAGAGGAGTCTAGAGGGGTTTGCAAACATTGGGGGTTTGCGAGGGATCTACAAGTGCTCCCTCAAAGAGGGCTGAGCCATAGTTGCAAAAGATTAATGAGCATGAGTCTCATGTCCCAGCAACAACTAATAAAGCAAAAACCCATCATCTCCTCTCCACCAAACCACTAAGGAGTAAACCCCTGACGATCAGGCCACCACCTAGTGTGACGCATGCATTAGTCTTTTCTTATATCTAAATCATGTATTTATATGCTGATATTCTTCTTGTAGGGGCTTGACTATTCATCTGGAGTTTGGCAATTCGAAGGCTATGCGTTTGTGCCAAATGGAACCTCTGGTGCAACCATAGCACAGATCCATGGTAAACAGTCTTTCATATATGAAAAAGTTTTTTTTTTTTAGCTTTTTTTAGTGAAATATTCACAAATGTTAATTTCTGTGAAAATTTTGATGTGTGAAAAATCTCGAGGGTCCAACAATGATGAGTATTTAAGACAAATAGATAAAAGGATTTGGCGGCTAAGAATTGAGTATCCATTTCCCTACTATGCCGTCAAAAAAAAAAAAAAAAAAAATTCTCTACTATGGATTCTCTCTCCTTCCTTGTCGCTATCTCCAAAACACAGTTTTTTCTTGATGAGATGATTAGTACTTAAAAAGGGTGTGATTAAGCTAAATTAAGGACACTGATATACCTATGGTCTACTCTGGTTGTGCCAACAAATGTATCCAGCCAATTGGCAACCATAACAATTTGTAATGCCTAATTTTTCTTAAACATTTTGAAGTGTTTTATTTATGGGTCTTGTACGGGGAGGAAATAATTCTCACAGAACCCCTTGATTGTCCGATCATATACAATAATGAATGGCCTTGCTTGTGGCTAATAATCCCTTATATTTTACTTGCTTGTGATCTAATCTCTTATATTTTAATTTATGTAAAATTAGGCTCATTTTCACCTATAATTTGTTAGTCATATAGATGGGGGAAAAAAATATTATCTTATCTTTTAATACATATTATCATATCTTTCACATTAAAATATATTTATTATTTCTATGTTTACATGCCATATGTATTAAATTTGTGTATTTTAGCCTAACTAAAAAGAAAATTAGAGTAATTATGAAAAATTTATTAAACATATTGTATTTTTTTTCAAACCTAAGAAATGGTCAGTACAATTTGTCGTGTTTACTTTTTTATACATTACACTCTGTAAATGCCATTAGACATTGACAACAGGTAATTGATGAATCATTAACATAAATATTTACAGTAATGTTACATCCACCGAATTTGGGCTCGTTTGAATTGTCTGAATTTGTGCATGCCAATTGATACACAGTCATCCAGGAGGATACCGATCATCCAGGTGGATGCATGCTGACACGCCGGTTGACAAAGGTGACATCAGTCATTCGAGCGGTCATCTGACTTATGTAATTCGAATAATTCAGGCAAGCCCAAATTCAGTGGATCAATCATTAACATAAATCTTTAACAATTTTCAATAACCCATCTAAAATTAACACCCAAAAGGGAATAGTCCTTCCTAGCTATGTACAGAATATTCTATGTGATCTATAGTAATTTAGAATACAATACAAACATTAGATTAGTTAGAGAAGAAAACACCCATGCAAATCCAAATTTCTTCTGAAAATTGTCAATATGGCAACTCCCCCCCCCCTTAGGTACTTACGTCGCATATATTATATTTCTTTTGGAAATTATACCTGTAATTCTTATAATTTATCTATTATTTTATAATTTTATTTGTATCAATTTGAGACCCACTATTGGGTAATTCGGCTGGATAACCCCTGGATCTGCTTCCCTTGGGGCCCCAATTGGATTTAGGGCCTAGTGAATAATACTTATCAGGCCCACAAATCTAACATTTTTTATATTTGTGAGACATGTATTTCATTTTGGTGTGCAAAGTTCACTAGAATGATCATTCCATCCTATGTTTGATTCGATTAAAAAAATAATGACAAATACATTATAAATGAAATCATCTTTTACAATTTTAAAGGAATGATCATTTTATAGGAAAGTTTAAAGGAATCACTATTCCATTTCATTCTCGCTCATTTCAATAAACTTGTTTGGAAAGTGTTAGATTAGTATACTTTTTGACTTTTTACAAAAAAACGTGAAATATGGGTTGGGTTTGAAGTGATGTGGTAAAGAGGTGATGTGACCCAAATAAGATGATTGTGACCCAAATAGGATAATGTGCTAAAATAGCTTGTGCTATTTTAGCACATGCCAAACAAGCACTAAATAGAGTATCTGTGTTTGGTGTTTATGATGCTAGCATTACTGTGTCCTTGTTTGGGGAGTTGACTATTTTAGTTGGCTATTTGACTTTTTAGCTATTTTAGCGTGGTTAAAATAGTTGTGTTTGGATAGTTAGTTGACTTTTTTTTTGCAATTGATTTGATGGTTGTGAGAAAAAAAGTGAAATGATTATGGGTTGGATGTGACATTTTGTCTTATTAACTATTTTAACCTATTTTATCTTTTAATAAGCTATTTTAATGTAACCCTCCTCCCAAACACCCTGTATAAAAGAAGAACACATGGATTGTTGCAGTCCACTATAGTTGAGTAAAGTTGAGTGCAATTGAGTTCCTGAGGTTGACTAGGGGTTCAATTGTAATGATTTATTAACTGGTGTTTTGGGAAGATAGTTAAAAACTAGTTTTTTGACTTTTTTAAAAACCATATGTAAAATAATGTGAAAAGTGATGTGACCGAAAATAAGTTAAAAGTTGGCTTTTAGTTTTTAACCCTCTTCCCAAATGGGGCCTAAATTGTTTATCATATGGACTCTTATGTGCATATATTTATTTAATTTTTACAATGATAGAATTTATGATTATTAAATTAATTAAGAAAAAACACATTGATAATTTATACACAAAACTAACTAGATTAAAATTTAGATTAATCAAATAGAATCTATGCTGTTGTGCAATTTGCTTGGTAGAACAAACCACATGTATAAAACAAATATCTTCAGTTACTTGCCAGTTAAGTTGTGAATGCTATCACTGCTGAAAATTAGGTTTTTAGTGGCGTTTAAAAAATGCCGCTATAGCTATCAAAAATGCCGCTAATTGTTTTTGTGACGTTTAGTACCAAACGTCGAAGATGCGGCCGTCGCTATAGTTTTATGACGCTTTAAAAGCGTCGCTATATTTAGTATAGGCGGCGTTTTTAAAAATGCCGCCAAATGTCCCACGCTAAGGTACTATGACATCATTATGATTTTAGCAACGTTTTCAAAACGCCGTCATATCTTTTTTTTAAAAACTGACCGTTAGCTTTAGAGTTTAGGTGGCGTTTCTCAAAATGCCGTGATATCCTCTCTCTCTTTCTTCTTTTTTTTTTTTTATTTTTTTTTATTTTTTATATTTATAAAAATTGTGCTAATTTTATGTGATTGAACTAAAAAAATACCTCTAATAAAATTGAATAGCACTAATATGAAATAATAACTCCCATTCAAATAGTAAATGCAGCATTAATTCACTTTCCCATTCAATTTAATATCCAATCACCACTACCCATAAAATAACATATCCACAAATGATGTTTTAGCATTACTTACAAAATAACATATTCAAAAATTGAATTCATTCATGTGCCCCAAAAAAAAAAAAAAATTGAATTCATAATTTTCAACAAAATAACATATCAAAAAATTGAATTCATAATTCTCAACAAAAAAATTACCTTGTATACAAGGCCAAAAGATAAGAAGAAAGTGAACCAAAATACCCAACCCCCCAGTCAGATCAAAGGAAAAAAAGAAAAAAGAAGAGGAATAAGAATCCAAAGGAAAGCCTCAAGCGTTTTGTCATGCATGCACTGAAATCCAAGGAGACTTGTGGTTCCATTTGCATAAATGTAATCAGAATTTAAAATATATTAACCAAACACATCTATTTCCTAAGTAATACTATTCTAGGGGTGAAAATAGTCACTACAGTTTATAAAATACACCATCACAAGAGCTATTTAGCATTCATCACAACATACTCCTAACTTCACATATATCTAATTAGTTTATAAAAAAAAAAATTCATTGAAGCATTTTACCAAACACTTGCAATGCAAAAAATCCGTTCACATGTGGTTGGGTAAACAAAGACGAAATATGTTTTCCCCAAAAACCTTAATCAAACCAACACAAAACCTTAATTAAAACAAATGTATGATTATTTTAGATATCGCGTGTAAGTTACATGTCAATGTTTGATCCAGTTATGTAACGGATTATTAATATAATTTTTAAATTTATACAAATTGACAGTGCAATGTGACAAAATGTAATATATTTTAGTTAGAGGAAATAAAATGATATTAAATGATAGTTCAAAGGAGGAAGACAATAATAATCTAGCTTGTTTTATATATATTTTTAGGTGAATAACTCAAATTACAAAACTGATTCAACACTATTGACTACCAACTATAACTAGATGTGGATCATTGAACATTGGCAAATTCATGATAAACCAAGTCAACTAGCAGCATCAATAACATGAAAATATTAACTGTTTACCGTAAACTAACTCGTTATTTTGCTATTCAAATAGCAAACTACCTCAAATTCACTATGCATCTACAAACTGATTTTAGTGATGTGAGATGTCAAATTTTCAAAACCTCACTTCTAAGTGAGGACCAAGAAGTCATTGTCCATCGAAAGCATGGCTACAACATGAGATAGATTCGTAACATTACAGCAATTTAAAACATCAATTCATAACCAAACAAAACATTTCACACAAACAAAACATCAATCATTGAAACAGAGCAATACTATCGCATTGCAGAATCAAAACTTGGCAACAACCAAATGAACAAAACAGAAGAGGGTTATAGTATATATATATATAGAATCACTGAACCAGCACAAACAAAACAGAATCAACAACCAACACAAACAAAACCGAATCACTGAATCAGATTTACAATAGTCATATATATAGAGAGAGAATGGGTAGATCTGAACCTTTTTGCCTTCTCTCAATGCCTTGATCTCCGCATATGCAATGCCTTGATCTGCACATACGAAAATCAACAGATAGACCATCTCAATCGAGAGAGAGACCTTCGAAATTGAGAGAGAGCTTTGAAATCAAAATCAAAATCGCCGAGATGTCATTTTGAGATGAATCACCGAGATTCGATTGATCGATCTGTTGAGAGAGAGCGATTCGTTGAGATATTGATCGATCGATATTCTGAGATGAATCACTGCTATTGGAAGTACTTGAGAGAGAGAGAGCGAGCCGTCCAGATCAGGAGAGGGTTGAGTGAGTGAGAGATTAGGGTTTAAAGAGGGTGTAGAAGAGTGAGTCAGCAGCCGGCCCATTTACTATGTTTGGAACCTAGGAGAGAGAAGAAAAGAAAAGAAACGAAAGTATTACTTAAGTTATAAGAGAAAATAAATGAAATAAAATGATTGTATTTTTTTTTATTTGGATAAGGAAGAAATTAAAAAAAAAATGATTGTGATTTTTCTCATTCTTGTTTGGTTAAATTTCATAAGAGAAAAGAAAAGAAATTATTTTATATTATATTACCAAAATAACATTTTTATATTTTCAATCATTTTTTTTTACAGGGACAAAATTGATATTATGAAAATATAAAAATCTATTTATTTCTTTCCCCTCCCAATCTCTCCACTTTTGGGAAGATTGAAAATGAGAGTTATAAGATAAATGAGTTTCTTTTTGTTTCTCTTCATT